TGGTCACACGTTCCAAGGTCTGAATTGCTGTAAAACCACCTGGGGAGACATGACGGCCTGCAGAGACGGTGTTAGAAAGATGGAATCTGATCTGAGGCCAAGTTTTATTTACTGTTGTCTTTTTGTGTTTAATATAAATAACTTCTTCCACTCCTCTCAAACAACCTGTCCTCCCTGTCCAAAATGTGCACCTTGCTGTCTTCAAGCGAGTGTTCCTTGTCTTTGAGGTGTAAATTACCTGCTGGTTCTTGATCCAATGCGATTGATCTTCTGTGTTCTGGTCCATCCAGACGTGCAGTTTAGGTTCTCCAATGTAGAGGTTGTAGAAGTCGGTCTTGTCTCTTACAGCTGCTTCTCATTTAGTAGGTAATTCCTACCTTTGACTGTGATTTTGGCCGATAACAAGGTTTTTTTTTTTGTCTGAAAAGTCACTAAGTCACTACTGAAAAGTTGCTAAGTTGGCACAGATGGGTGGCTATTGTTAACCACGCACATGCAGATGTGACCTGGCGGACAGGTCTGACAGTCAGCCCTCTCTAACGGCAGATCAAAAGGGGACAGCGGCTGATTTTCAGACCTTTGCGGGAGTAGATGCCATCGGCATTGGCCGATTGTCGTTTCTTTGCAGAACACCCATATTTGCCCCATAAAATAACCAAAATAATAATGTCTTGTGTTTTGCAAGACATGTACAAAAACTAGATCTTGATTTCTAAAGATTTACCTCTTAAAAATGCTTAAAGGTCTACCAAAAACAAGGATTGGGAGTTGACAGTTACTCCCGATCCGATTGGTTTAGAGATTATGTGATCCTGCATCGATATTTGCAGTCAGATTGTGACATCACTTAGATCAACATTAGTCTTGTGTCTTTGTACTTTTTATTAAAGCATGTTAATGCAAATATTCCTCTTTTTGCTTTCCTTCTGTAGAACCTGCCCATCGGTGCAGACTGTGTTGGTTCACTCAAGCTCACCTACATCTCTAAGGTAAAGGAAAATATAGCATCAGCAACTTTCTTTACACTGATACAGTTTCACGAATACAGTTTAGTTAAATATGAAGGTGAAACCTTGTACTTAATCCATCTTTAGGTCAGTGATGCCACCAAGCAGAGGCCCAAAGCAGAGTTTTGCTTTGGTAAGTACGCAACCAAACATCGTCATCTTCCTATTTAGCTTTGGTTTGTTTTGTTGACTCGTCTTGTTGACAGCATCTTGATCAACAATTTTGATCTAAAGTTTTATACTGTGCAGAGTTCCTGTTAGAAGCAAGTCTTTTTCTTTTGTTTTTGTTTACAATAGCATTTTAAAATATTCTTTGTAATCCTACATATGCAGTACAAGACTGTTGTTCTGTTGTTTTGTGTCTGAGGCTTTACTGGAGGTAATCAGAGCTCCATCAATGATGGTTTTTAAGATAGAGCCAGCATGGTGGACAATGGTGGCTCCAGACACAACTGGTATTGTCTGTCCTCAGGATGTGTAAAGGCAGAGCTGTGTTTGAAACGCACGCACGCACGCACGCACGCACACACACACACACACACACACACACACACGATAGAAGCTTAGTCAGTTCAGTGAGAACAAGCAATGATAAATGAACGCTACATGAGAGAGTACTGTTGCTTTTAAAAGTGTAAATGACTTGAATATAATGCTGGATCATGTTAGAATGTAATGTGTTGCTGTTTAATGTATGATTATATATATATTTATGCATGACAATATGACTGTATAGTAGAAAAAAATGTCTTAAAGAGTAATTTTTGCTCATATCACTTGCTAAATTAGCTTTTTTTAAAGTCTAAATTAATCTAAACATAAATATTCTCAGCATAGATTTTGTTAGATTACTATTTAATCTTTAAAATATTAATATTTCACCTCTTTTGCCATTGAACTATATTTTATCAGTTTATACTAAAGCAAGAACATTAACTGCTGGTAGAGAGGTTTGACTGAAAGAGCCGCCCACCAGGCATGTCTGCAAGTTCACAGTTAACGATAGTCACACCACTGGTGCCAGCTCAGCAACTCTCCTGCTATATTTAGACACATTATAGACAAAAAAAAAGTTTGATATCGACCAAAATTGGCAAAGATACATACTTGTTGATCTTTACTTGACTTCACACACCTTTGAGGACTACATGATCGTGTTGCGTAAATATATCAGTTGCTTCAGATCAGGTTCTTTAGGGGAAAAAAAACTTCCCTTTCTGTTATTGTTGACTCATCCCTCTCCTTCACTTCCATCCGACTCAATCACAGGAAGTATCGGTGCGACGAATGGCCGACCATGTTGACGTTGCCGCGTGAGCGCACATTGTCCGGCTGCGTGCGCGCCACATGCCTTGTTGAGGTTTCTGTCGGATGCCAGCATCCTAATTGGGACTTGCTTTGGAGATTGGACGAAGTTATTTTTGAAAGGCCATTTGTGCAACACATGTTGATAACCACGAGTCCCGCTTCCCCCCGGCTCCTCCTTCTGGCAGTTAGTGGTGTTCAGCAAAGTTAGCCGGTGCTCAAACAGCATGTCACATTGTCAGAAAACCGAGATCAGAGATCTTTGAAGCCGATTGCCTCACGGATGGGTTTGAAGGATTTGTATGCATGTTGAAGGTTAACAGGTTTTCCCACCAGCGCGCAGCATAGTTTTACAACTGAGTCAGATCCGTCACCTGACTCGGTTACACCTAGATTTGTCATCCTGCTGCTTTACTTTAAAGAGCAAAACACTTACTCAACACTCGGTGTGCCTCAAAGACGAGGTCAACATGTTTGAGAAAGGTTAACACTATAATTTTATTAACCAGAGAGCAGACAGATTTATTTAGAGAGACGTGTCATTCCGCTCTGAGTTGGAGCTCAAAATGCATGATCTTAATTGTGCCACAGAGTTTGCTTTGTGCCTTTTACTGCTGTTAGTTGACAGGTAAATCAGCACAGCTGTAATGTAATTTATCACAGTGACATGGAAAGGAAGCAGAAGATACAAGGAAGCTTTGATTAGCGCAACTTTAACGATCCATGGGAAAGAGAAAGGAGCTCATGCAGTCAGCTTCTGACTCAGCTTTCAAAAATGCAAAACATGGAAAAGTTTGTCTCTCACTTTCATTTGAGTCTGAACATATGATGGTATTTAGTTGTTGGGTCTTGAATCTTTTTTTTTTTTTTTCTACAAGGAAATCTTGTTGGCTGTGTGGGAAACTCCCTCAGCTCAGTTTGATTTCGTCATCACAGTCACCGGTGGCAGCTGCTCCGTTCTGACACTCATTGTTGTGCAAGAACGGCAAAGTTTTGGATTAACACTTCATCTTTGCCTTTTTAGTTTATATTTTGTTGTAGTAGTAGTAATGAACTCTGTGCCGGAGGCGTTGGGACCCAAGTTAATTTCACCCTTCCCTTTTGTTCCCACTCCTGTTTTATGATCTGTTAGTCATCAACGCTGGGATGAGGAAGTTCTTCCTTCAGGCCAATGATCAGCAGGACCTTGTCGACTGGGTCAACGCTCTCAATAAAGCCACCAAGATCACTGTGAGTCACTCAAGCACACAAAACATTCGCCTTTTTCTTTTCTTCTTAATTTTTTTTATTTTTTGACAACATAAATCAGTCCTCTCTGGCTCATATTTGATCTTTTTCTCTGAACTGATTAAGAAACTCTGTCAAGGAATTAGAAGTGAGTCGAAACATGACTAACAGGATGCTGTATTGTTTTCCTGAGTTCTGGGATAAAGGACTGCTTCCATTGTTCTCCGTAAAATGCTAGCCTGACAAAGAGGAAATGGATATAAAATATGTTACACTACAGGCAGATTTTGCATATGCAAATTGATGTTTTCTCCATTTAAAGTATTGAGAAATGTAGTGGAGTTTTAACCTGCAGCTAATGGCTACAATCCGCCCGTCTGTGCATCGTTTATGTTTTTTGTTAAGGTGCCAAAGTCGTCAGAAAGCCAGCAGAATTCAGAAAACCAGAAAATTTTGCCAGACGTCGTCGGGCCCAAGAAGCAGGTTTCCTACAGGACGGACATAATCGGTGGAGTTCCCATCATAACCCAAACCCAGGTGAACATCAGGCCCACCAAACAACCTGTCACTCAACGCTTAAAAGGATAACTGTTCTCAGAGTTTCACGGGAAACAAGAGAATAACAATTATATGTTTCTAGATATTTAAACTTGGCCAAAGCACACATCAGATGTCTCCTGAATCTTCTCCATTGATAATGAAAGTGTTGCAATCAAAAGACTTTGTGTGCAAGTGGACGTGAATGCATCTCTTAAAAGACCGATGTGATTCTGAAATTCATGTTACGTTGTTTTTGGAGGGGCTCTGTGCTTCTAAAACACTTCTTTTCTTTTCTTTCCTTTTCTTTTTTCTTTTCTTTTATCCTTTTTGTTTCATTTCTTTCCTTTTTTCTTTTCTCTTTTTATTCTTTCCTCTTCCACATGCTCTCACTCAGTGAACATGAAGTTTTCTGACTCAAACTGGTCAAGCGGTTTTTTTTTTCCCCAACTCCAGTGAGAAGCCTTGAAAACTTTTGATTACAATCAGTTCAGATAATAATCTAAACATTCTGTTTCATTTCCCTGAAAATTTTCAAATAGAAAATGAATTTGTTAAACTTCTTTTAAGAGTAACTGCTTCGATAAATAATACTTGTACGTTTTGTTCAAAGGTGCTTTGCAGGAACACAACAATGTAAAATCAACTAACGCAACAAACAATAACTGGTGCATATTGCTGAAAAATAAAATAATTAGTTTTGTTTCACCAGTTTGTGTAAGGGGATCCTGTTTAAGGTGTAAATAAATGCATGACCTTGTCTATCCTTTAGTTACTAAAAAAAAGTAATATATTTATGGGTAAACAATTATTTCAAAAATAACACACATTGTTTGGACTTTCATAGTGCAAACTGTGTTTTCTTCATCTGTCCTAATTTAGCTCTGTAAAATTATGCTCTTTTAAAACATAAAATAAAAATGCAGTTATTTAGCGTATGTTCAGTATTTTATATTGCATTAAGTATGCGCATATTTTGGTGAAGGACTTTTATCAGTTTCCAAATTTAACCTAATAACGACCGTGTTTGCATTGCAAAGTTTAAACTTTACATGTCAATAAGATGTTTTCCCTCCCAGCACGAAGGCGGTGACGGCGCGAACCGATCAGAGCGCGAGGCGCTGCAGCGCTCCCACAGCCAGCTGCCATACTTCCTGGGCAGGCCGGCTCAGGAACAGAGCGTCATCAAGTCAGGCTACTGTGTGAAGCAAGGAGCCGTGGTGAGGCCTTTAGACGGCTTTTTATTTGATTCCATGTTGGCTTTCAGGAAAATCCTTCAGGTCCTTATTTTACATATTTCAGAAATGTCTATTTTCCAAGTTTAGACTAAATGAGTGAGAGGGAGAAACATGCATCAAAAGTTGATTGGGCATTGTTGAAAAGCGTCATCTATGTGTTACTAATCGTACAAATTATTCTCAAATGAGAAATTGGTTTGTGATAAACACCTTGGATGTGAAAGACTGTAAAGTCTCTAAAGCTGATCTGGTTTAGCAGGCACGTCTCTATGTTGAGGAACAACTAGAGAAGCATAAAGTAATGAGCTGCTGACCTGAATGAAACAGTTTCAAACCTGATTAATAGGAAGCTTTGTTAGAAGAAATAATTTTCTAAAACCTATTACCGTGTTGACTGTTCATTCCTACATTTAAGCCTGAAGACAAAATGAGTATTCAAGCAAATAAGAAAAAGGTTGAACGAAGTACAGAAAAGTTATGACTTGGTTTGGACACGTGGCTTTTTAGAAATATTTAAATTTAGCACCTAGTTTCTCAAGGAATCGCTCATGTAAGATGCTAACTGTATGCTAATTCTACTGCTTTGCATTTCATTTATACAGGAAATTTTGTTCCAACTACAGCTGCAAATTGACAAGTTTCTCTTTTAATTTTCATGGAAGTAACATCTGTTTTCTTCCCAGATGAGGAACTGGAAGCGTCGCTACTTCCTCCTGGAGGAAAACGCTATGAGCTACTTCAAGTCAGATTTGGTAATTAACTTCCAAGTTAAAATGAAGATTTTTTTTTTTTTTTTTTTTTCTTTTTTTTTTTTTAATGTTTTGTGTTGAGTTGCTTTACCTTCCAGTGGTGGGCGGAGTAACATCACTCTCGGTCCCAAGTTTCAGCTTGTTTTATTCGCAGTCTGAGGAATTCACTGCCTTCACATGTCCTGTCACGTCTCACTAGCTCTAGCCAGTTTTACACACACACACACACACACACACACACACACACACACACACACACACACACACAAGCTGTCCTCAAGACAACCTGCACATCCTGTACCCTGTCCTTGTCAGCGTCAGCCCCTATTTGACACGTTTATCTGTGTATTTGCCTATCAACATCCTGAAGGACATACGCACTCTAGCAATCAAGAAAATTACAAGCTTTGAGGGAAGTTTGCCATTTTTCTTGTCAGACAGAAACCAACTTGGATTGATTTTAGTAATTATGCTATTAAAATACCTCCAAATAATAACATTCGTCGTCTGTTGTGGGTGTTTTATGCCGTCTTTAGGAGAAAGAGCCTCTGAGGATGATCCCACTAAAGGAGGTTCATAAGGTCCAGGAGTGCAAACAGAGGTATTCGACATGCCCCGACATTTTCCTCGCCGCGTACAATAAACGTCTTTGTGTTTGATGAAGACAGATTCGTATCGGCTCTAGTTGTCGAATTTGATTTCACTTGTTTCTGGCGTCCCTCTAGTGACATCATGATGAGAGATAATCTCTTTGAAGTCGTCACCACATCGAGGACGTTTTATATCCAGGTGCGTTTTCTGTGATTATAAAATTAGCTTAGCAGCTGTCGCAGGTCAGACTGTGAGGTTCTTGAATTTTGTCACTTTTACCAACTAAGGATTCTACATCCACTCCATAGGATTTCTCCCTCTTATACTTTAATTAATTAATTTTTTGTCTCCACTAGGCGGACAGCCCGGTGGAGATGCACAGTTGGATAAAGGCCATCTCAGGGGCGATAGTAGCCCAGCGGGGACCTGGGAGGTCGGCTGCCACAGTAAGTACCATTCATTCACTGTGACACACAAGCAGAAGTCGAGAATTACACTGACATCTAGTGGTAGGAAGAACCGGCTTATGAGGAAACACTACTGAGGACGTTCTTGAGGATGAACTGTTAATTTCACTGAAGCCAAAACACAACTAACCTGTTTTTGTTTTTTTTTTCTTGATAAACTTCATTTATGCCGTATGAGGCAGGAGTTTAGAAACTAAAAGCAGATGAGCTCAAAGTAAGTTCTGGTGTGGAAACTTTCACCCTGCCTTCAAATTGTGCCTTGAAGTACTAGTTATAACCTTTAACCTCTTTCATATTCCGTCATGGTTACAACCACAATTTTTTATTGTTTAGTTTTTTTTGTTGGAGTTTATGGGGATCACAAAGTGTCACTGTGAAGCGAAAGGAAAAACATGCATGATCTGATTTTGTTTTAGCAAATAGAAATCTGAAAAGTGTCAGCAGGTTAGTAACTGGAGAGCTCCAGCTCCAAAGATTTAGAGAAAGATGCAAATGATTTCCACAGTTTTCAGGTGACAACAAAAAACAAACAAGCATTTCCTTCCCCTCATGTTCTACTTCATGTTATTCTGTTCCATTAAGCACCAATGAACTACAACAGAATTTGTGGTTGTAAACAGGAAAAAGTTCCAGGAGTATGAACAGTTTTGCAACACACTTAGTTTAAAAAAAAAAAGGGAGAAAAAGCCAAAAAACGATTGTGTTTAATGAGGTAACTTTGCGGTGTGGTCCTAGAGACTCGTAAATCCTTTTTTTTTTTTTTATCACCTCCCCCTCATCACCAATCACAAACCATATCCATATAATTTTACTGGAGTGTCCTCTTAAAATGTGGCGTCTGTTAAGCAGATGACGCATGTCACTAGAGATTTGTATTTTGGATCGTCAGCTGAATGCAAACCGCATAGAACTATCTGTTCTTAAAACGACATTCTTTTACTGTAGTCACAAAAAAGCAGCTAAAGCTGAAAGGTGCCAGCGAAGTAATCAACACCTCTGCGCACCTCCGTTGGTACTTCCTGGTTACACTGGAATCATTCTGTGCTCCACATCTCTGTTTTTTTTCCTCTAGCTGTTGTTCTTTTTTTCTTACTTCTTCCTTTGTCTCTGTCTCTCTCTCTCTCTCTCTCTTTCTCTCTCTCTCCTTCCTGTCGCATTGGGACCCCCAGCCCGTCTGCTCTAATCCTGCTGTGCACTGTGTTGTTGCAGATGCGGCAGGCCAGACGGCTGTCGAACCCCTGTATACAGAGGTATACGTCTCGAATCGGGGAGTGCAGCGGCACGTATGTCAGCTCGTCTAAATCCCCCTTGCAAACTATAAATTCACCTTTCCAGTACTTTTTTTTATATATATATATATTATTATTATTTCCTTCCCCCCTCTCACTGGCTGGCGCTTTGGTTGTTAGATATTTGCTCTTTTCACACATTGAACGTGAGACATGTTCAGCTGCGGGTTAAGCTTTTTCTTCTATAAAATCTGCAGTAGGTGATTTTTGGTTTCGCATTTTCCTAAGATATGAAAGGGAACAGGGGGAAGAATCTGGCAAGAGCACAAAGGAGCCAAAAGGCCTACATTATGAAAATATTAACTTTTTCTGAAAACATGCATCATCCCTGACGATATTCAGGGTCGATAGTTAAAAGTTTTTCTACTATTGGTGCCGATGCCGAGTTTTAAAACTCAAGTTGACCTTTTTGTTGAATTTTTGTTTTTAAAATCATTTAAAATCGGCCAACTTGTTTGCGGAATGAATTCACAGGAGTAACGGATGAATTAAAACAGAAAAGATCATGAAGTTGCAGATCTCATCTTTGGAAAATTTGCAGCTAGGTCTGCATAATTGATATTCTATAACCGAAGAGTCCAGAGTTAATGTTGTGCACGTCTCTGTTTGCGCACAGTATAACTTTAAAACGTATTTTGAGAATGTTTTTTAGGATGGCATTGAATGTGTGAAAATGGCTACCATAAGAGCAGCTAAGGTCTAAATGCTTATCTAGTGCTCTTTTTTTTTCCCCTTTTTTAATTTGTATGCTGCTGTGAAAGGATATTTGCTCCCTTTAGAAATATCTTTTTTTTCTTTTGTCACATTTAAATTCGTCAGTTCACAAAGCAAATTTTAATCTCAGACAAAAATAACCTGAATAAATAAATAAAATGTCCAAACCAACTTAAGCCTGTGTTGAAAAAAAAATGTAATTGCGCCTCTTCAGAATGAACCTCGTAAACTAACTGTGATTAGTCACACTTTCTGACTCAATTTCACAGCCAAACATGATCATTACCAGACCTTTAGAAAATAATTTTCTAACATCATGAAGCTGAAAATCTCAAAAAGCAACATAATGAAAAATTCAAGAGCAGACGAGAAGCACGGGGAGCGGCGGACATTTTTAAGGCTGAATCACAGAGTTGGCAGCGAAGGCGGAGGGGGGGAAACCTAAACCAGTGGTGAACCTTCCCAGGAGTGGTGAGGACATCGGTCAGAGCAGGTCCACTTCCAAGTGGCTGCTAGAAGAAAATGACAAAACAAAAGAGTGGTTAGCATTTAGAAGCCGTAACCTTAAAGAGGCATCTCGTTTTAATGTGGTCGAACTGAAACAATTCTGCAAACAAGAGTGGCCCAAAATTTCCCCCACGGCGTTGCAAATACTTGTTGCAGCACATAATTAGGTTTGGGAGGAAAATACTTTTTCCACGTCAGGCCAGGCTGGTTTGGATCGCGTTTGAAAATCATTTGAAAATTTCTCTTCATATCCGTTTGTTCTGTTTGTCTTTCTCTGGAGTTGGAATTTGTTTATGTGAAAATGTAAATGTGACAAAACAAAAAGAGCAAACTGGAGGAAATCCATATGGAGTCAAAATATTTTTTCACACCTCTGTAAGTACATCCTAAATATGGCTGCCATAACTCAGCAAGCCCTTTCACTATGCCCCCCCCTTTCTCTAGATGCTCTTTCATTTACCTCCTTTCTCTGTTTTTCTTTTCTTTTGCTTATCTTTCTTACAATAAGTTGTGGATCCTCTGTGGTCAGATTAATTAGTGAATAGAAATGTGTCACTGTTTAAAAGATTGTCCAATATAAATATGTCATATGCTTTTTATGCAACTTGTGAGTGGCATGCAGTCGTTGAATAAGAAAAACAAGAGATCCAAGGCTGATTTAAAAAAAAAAGAACGAAGGTGGAAAAATTGACTCTGTGTTAAATCCAGAACTGTAGGATAATTTTATCAACATTATATTATTGAGGAATCTGAAGCTGTGCAGTTCATACATCTGACAGCTGAAATCTTCACTTTAATGTACCTTTTTTATTTATTTATTTTTTGCTAATTTTTGTCTTCACCTTTTTATACTGACGTTTAAATGTCTGCATATAACATATGTGTACATCTATTTATACGAACCTTGCACAAGCGTAGAGCACAGTGACTGTCTGAACTTTCCCGGCAGCTCGGCTGTAAATACTGTTTCTGTCTTTGTCACTGTTGCTGTCATTCACACCTTCTCTTCCCCTCCGTGCCTTGTTCTCTCTGCAGCCTGCTGCAGCTGTGTACCTGTCTTAGATGTGTGACATCCTGCTTGTCTCTCCTCTTCCCTCCTGTCCGCTGCCTGTATGTTTTTTCTTTCCTCTTTCTTTCGAGACGAGTGTTCACCTGTTGATTCTGTGTACCTGTGTGTGCTGAACGCTTAACGTTTTCACCCGTGTACGCTAACTTTAATCATTGCATCTGCGTGTGCAGAACTGCAGACTTGGGGTTGTTTGCGAATGTTGAGTTGCGTCATGATATTTTAGATTTATAAAATTGTTAAATATTCCTACTAATAAGTTTCGAAAGTTTCAAAAGTGATAATCTTCCTGAAATTCCCCTGAATATTGAGCTCAAATTGCTTTTTTCACATTTTGACTCGATATGACGATTCTTCTGATGAATAGTGCTGGACAATTTGCTGGGACGCCTGTTAAAGATGTGTAAAAACATTTAAATCTCGCATTTTACTGCAACAGCCTTCACAGAAGTTATGATTAATCTACTGCAATAAAAGATGAATGTAAGTCGTTTTACACATCTCTCCCAGGAATAGCAACTTTTTCAGATCAGTAAAGCTCGCAGAGACACAAATCGTCCCACCGCGCTGTTGTGCGAGACGAAGTTCTGTTTTGAAACTCTGGAAACTCTTGGAGTTTCCAGAAGCTCCCGCTGCAGCGCTAATGCTGCCATGTTTGTCTTGCTAACCCTCCGCCAGCTGCTCAGCGGCGACCACTTCTCTGCTTTTCACCGCCTCTGCTGTGTTTTTCTTTCTTCTCCTGCTCCTGTTTATCTTTCAGAGACTGAAAAGTGACTATGAAAAGCTGTGAAATACTAAGCGGCAACCAACCACTGCTTCTTCCAAAGGCTCTTTGTTTTCAATTTCCTTTCGCAACCTAAACCCGCTGACACTCCTCTCTCCCTGCTACCAATACTACCACCACTATCTCCAGTCTTAACTCCACACTCTTCAGCTCCTACAACCTTCCGGCTGCTTCAGACTCCACCTGCCGGTGCTTCATCCAGTCTTTTTAAAATTACTCTACCTTTAGTGGAGACGCGCTTTAGACACTAATGGCAGCCACCCTCTCTCTCCCCCCGCCTCCCTCTTCTCGCCGCAGGAACACGGCAACCGTCCCTCGTTCTACCGCAGCCCAGCGGCTGCCGCCGTCCCTCGCGCGCCCGTACCTGCCGTGCCACCATGCAACCCCGAGCGGGCCGACGCCGTCGCGTGCGGCGCACGCCCGCAGCCTGGCGTGGGACAGCGAGCACTTCATGAGCCTGCTGCCGCGCCCCGTTCACAGCCACGCGCCAGCACGCCTGTCCCTGCAGGAGACACGCCTCGCAAAGTGACCTCCCAGCCGCCCGCCAGCATCACCGTGGCGTGCTCCGAGGAGTCGCCGTGGAGACGTCGAAGCAGCTTCGAGCCCCAGGCGCCCCAGACCCATCTGGACATTGACGACGCGGATCTGCCAGTGAGCGAGGTCTGACCACCGACTCTGAGCTGGACTTTGAAAGCCTCCGTCGTGTCTTGAGGGACCTCTCCACCGCCGATAAACAGGACACACCGTGAACCCGGGCTTTGGCTTGCTAAACCAAAGCTGTAACACAAACTCATCGTCGGAGCGCTTCCATCGACGCCGCCGACCCGCACTCATCTGACCCAGCGTTCACCCAAACTCCTGGACTCTGGACGGGGTCTGAGCCAAGCTACACGTTTGACTTGTTCTGAATGAAATTCAGCGTCAGAGCTTTATTTTCACACACATAGGCACAGAGATTGTTTTTTTGTTTGTTTTTTTGATAAACTACTTTGTGCCAACTAAATAAGGGAGCTTTGAACAATACAAGCTTTTCCCCTCAGTGTCTGAAAAGGGTTTTTAAACTTTAGAATTGCTTTTTGTTGTTGTTTTTTGTTTTTTTAAATCCACTAATGCTAGACGTCCCGGTTCATTCACACTAAACAAACTGACACTGGATAAAACGGTAAGAAGCCAAATGTATTCTTGCTTGAAAATCTTCCACTGACCTCTTTGTTTTAAAGTGTCTCTTGAGTTTAATCTGCATTTATAGCTGCGTACATCTTAACGTGTAAAGCTGCCTTCACTTGTTCTTTCTCCCGCCTCTAGTCGGTGTTTATAGAACCAAATCAGAGGCTGAATCAGCTTCTTCTTCAGACTACATTTTTGTACGCCTCGCTTTGTGTGCTTTGCTGCGTTTTAAGTGAAAAAGTGTTCAACTCGTGTGCATTTTGAACTAAACGGTAAGAGTCACCCCACACCTCAACCTCACAGAAAACATAAAAACACTGAAATTAGTCACTCGCTTCATTTGCATGCAGATATCTCAACGACTCTTCAGGTGATCTTTGTTTGTGTTTGTTGTTTATTTGCAGACCCGTTTGTTGTTGTCGAGTTGGCAGATTTGTTTTAAATGCTTTTAGATTTGAGTTTTCTTGTATCTGTACCTTCAGTATAATTCTAAGCAGCTACCTGACGGTGTTATTGAAAAAAAAAAAACAACAAACAACTCACTGTAATCCTACTAGATAATGCACACTCATCTTTATTTTTCTTTTAAGTGCCTGTCTTACTTCAGTTTACTAGACTCAAGCTATTTCACTCCCATTTCAGTCTGGTGTTTGAATTGTTTCTATTTATTAAGTGGATGACTTGAAAGAAATAAACACTGAAAATGTGCTGCGTGGTGAGAGTTGTGTTTGTGTCACTTATGAAAATACAACCAATCTGATCCTTTGCATGACTATTTCTCTCTCTCTTTCTCTCTACATACAGCTGCTCCCTACTGCCCTCCTGTGGAGAGAATAATCTTTACATTGCTCCACTAAGTCGATCGCTTTATTTCTCATAAAAATGGTTAAAGTTGTTGCAACATTTATCACATTATGCAAAGTGATTTATAAAAAAATGGATTAAATAAGCATACATAAAAATATCTAGATCTACATTTTTCTGCAACTACAAACTCAACCACTCCTAAAAAAAAACAAATGCCGTGTTGATGTCATGTGACAGCTGATCTCTACATTGTGCTGAACATTACTTGTTTCTCAGGGTGTAAAAAGTAAAAGTATTTGTTTGTTTGTTTTTTTATTGAAAACAGCTTTTACCTGAATGTGAATTAAATATTCAATACGTCATAAAATAAAAATCTCTGACAACCATTTACTGTGCGGGGCAAACGTTCTGGCACCCCTGGTAAAGGCGTAAAAAAATATCTTTTTCTAAAAGGGTCTTTTTTTGCAGGTTCATAATCTCACACTGACATTTATTTTTATAAAAAAAATCAAACTTCAAGGTCATATTTCTCTATTTAAATTTGTTTTGTAATAAACAAAACTGTGTCATAGTTTTGGCAAGTCGCCTTTTTACCAAGTGCTTTTCACTCTTACTGCACAAACTTTTTGGATGTTTCCTTTTAATTGAGTACAATCTTTGGCTACTCTACTCCTCTCTGCAAGTAATAGTAATAGTAGTTAGTAGTAGAATATTGCCTATGGCTTCCCAGCCTGCATCTTTGAAATATTTTAGACTTGCTCTATGAAAAAACGATGTTAATATCTGGATTTTCCCATAATAGTTTATTCTGACTCCATGAATGCTGAGCTGTGAGTTGTTGGGATTCCACTTCATATAGTAGTTGACCCCCAACATGGAGCTTATTGAACTCCACATTTTTAAGTTTGTGAGGGCAAAACGTTGCATCACTCTCAAACTAGTTGACACGTAGATGTCGTCGTCATGTGATTGCTATGGAAACGTGGTGACCCCAGGATAGGACTCCTGAGGCCTGGAGAATTATTTTTACCTCCCTAACCATCCTCCTCACTGTGCGATGTGGGAAGATAAATACGGGCCCTTGTTTCGCTTTGTGGCCGGTGACTAAAAGAAACGGGCCTCTGCGTCACGTCATGTTTATAGCCCAAGGCAACAATTCGGCGAGTACCATTTAGAAGTCCCTAAACATGCCGATTACGTCAAGAAAAGAAGCATAACATGTATGAAAAATTACACTGCTTTTCTCAATTCTCAATTTACTAGGGCAACCAATCATTTTTTGCAAGCAGTAACAATCTTACAACAAAATTCGGTACATTTTTAACAACTTTTATTGTCCATAAACATCTGTGAACTCAGATTTAAGATTGGATTCTTTAATGTTTTCATGGTGATATTACGTTACTTCAGTAACAATATTTGAAGCCATTTTGACTTTTTTCTTCTTTTTTTGTTCACAACATGCTCAATCCTGTATGGTGCACCCAAAGCCTTGATAATGACCCTGGGAAGTAAAAGAGGAAAACTGGTTTTCATGAGAAAGTAAAATAAACGAAAGCATAAGTATGGAAACACATCCATCACTGCTGTCCACATTCATTCGTTCATTGTCCTTGGTCTATTACCATCAACTTTGAGGTTTGAATGTGGGTTCTTTTCGGGGGGTGAGGATTGAACTGAAGCTGCGCTGTCTCTTTAAGAACCCAACTCTCAGCTGAGACATCAGTCGAGTCGAGGCGAGGCGAGATCACACAGACCTCAGCCGAGTCCATCCCTGGCTGTGTTGACTGCCCTCGGTTGGAGAATGGGTGTTCCTTATGGATGAGGTTGTTTTCATCTGCAGATTCTCCCACCATTTGTCGCCTATGCATTTGCGCAGAGGAGGGCTTGGCTTCGTCTTGTGAGATGCTGCCAGTTGCATTCAGTTTAATTCATACAATAATCATTAAAATTACAGAGCTCTGTTTTTTTCTTATATGTATATATTTAGAGTTTCCTGCCCCCCTTTCTAATTGCCCTCTTCATAGAGATGCTTGTGTTGCCCTACGCTCTCCACAGGGGGTACCAGCCTCCAGTCTGCTCCATTCCCAAACAGCCTTGTACAAACAAACTCCCCTCAATTTAAACCCACTTGGAGATAATTCAGAGAATCCTGCTCCTCACAATCAATCACGCCGTGTTGAGGCGTTTTAAGACGCTGATTTACAGCGGTGCTGTTTATTGGAGTCTCACTGTTGGCCACAGACATCTAAATCTTACAGAGCTCTGTTGTTCAGTAGGGAGGTTTTTATGGGTTTTTTTTTTTGTTTTGTTTTACTTAAATTGTGTTATTTCAGCCAATAAAATAAAGAGAGATACATGAATTCATTAATTAGGAAACCACACAAGGTCGTGGCGCAAATTATTAATGACGGTAATTTGGTATTGTGCTTAAAACATCTAAAAGTTCTCATGAGCACTTAGTGGTTAAATACAAAGAAAGGGATAAACAAGCTGCATCAGCCTCCACAAATCCCTTCCATCGCCCCGTTATTTTCCCCTCCTAATAGTTTGGTTTATCCATAAGGTTTTTGTTAATGCCATGTGTGACTAATTAATGAGGAAGCAATAAAACGAAAACAAAATAAATAAATAAACGGCCTGGAAACTGTACTGCAGCATGTGTGGACAGCAAGTAAAGCACACACAGGCTTCGAGCCTTTTTTATGTTCCATTACTGAGATTTTACTTTTAATTCATTTAAAAGTAGACTACTAACATCCATGCTAGTAAACACACGCACGCCTTAAGCGATTCCACACACTGTGGTGGTCTAACGCAGGCATTTGCAAACTGTCTGCAGGAGAACAAAAGATGAACATGTGGACAGAGAGACGGCAAGGCCTCATCTGTCAGGATTTAAAGATTGAGACGTTCATTTTACATCAGTTCCAGTGGAGCCTCTCTTTTATCTTGGCAACAATTTATTAATAATGTATGTTTATCTTGTTGTGTTTTGTTTACTTTCACAACATCAGCTACTTGCACCCCTTACACTGCTATATGTGAGAGTGTATCATTAAAACTCACATTTCTACATTTCAAATAAAGAAAATACTTTTTTTCTATTCTGTTGCATATGTTTTGCCATCCCCAAAATTAGATGGTGGAGAGGGGGAGGAGGGATTGTCACTGCTGGGTTAAAAAAAAAAATAAAAAAAAAGATTTTCACTTCAGTCTAACTTCCAGAGCAATCTATGTGTGATTGATATTTTATTTTTAATGTTGATGAATTGCTCAGCTCCAGCCTCCAGATGTCACTCCCTTAGCATGACACTGCCATCATCATGCTTCACAGCAGAGGTGGGAGGTTGCCTTGGATCTCACCTCCACAATTTCTACTATGATTTCATCAGATCAGAAAAGTTGTTCCTCTGATCTTTTTGGCCAGAGTAGTGGGTAGGCAAAAAAAATGCAAGTGCCTGCATATATATATATATATATATATATATATATATATATATATATATATATATATATATATATATATATATATCTGTGTGTGTCATGTTTTTTCCCACTCTCTCTCTCTTGTCATGTTGTCCTCGGTCTTTTTCTGGAGCACCCACACTCTGCCTTCCCTTTCAGTGCGCCCCGTGAACGCACCACTTTCCATGCCTTTTCCCACTGACTGGAAAGTTGCGTGTGTGATGCGGTGCCAGTAAAAACGTGCGCAGAGATTGGCTGCGCAGAACTTCTGTTAAATGCCTCTCCAGCTGCAATGACTCCCCCCCCCCCCCACCCAGACCTCCCCCCTCCCATAGCCCTGCAAAGCCGGGATCGAACTTTTCTTTCTCTATGAACTTCGTGCTTCACTTTTAAAACTTCTTTCTCTCCCTCTAACTCTCCCCTTTTTCATTTTATATATATTTATATATATATATATATATATATAATTTTTTTTTTCTTTGGACAATGTTTCGGTCCTTCCTGTTGTGCGTGGTCGCAGCGTCGTTGCAGGCGGATGCGCAGATAACCAGCCGCTATGTTGTCGGATGCCCCTCCGTGTGCGACAAATCCATGTGTCCCCGTCTGCCTGCGGACTGCCCGGCGGGACAAGCCCTCGACGTCTGCCAGTGCTGCACGGTGTGCGCGTCCGGCGAAGGGGAGGCGTGCGGCGGCGGCGGCAAACTCGGCGACCCGACGTGCGGAGACGGGCTGGAGTGCTCCGTGTCCGGCGGGGTGGCGTACAGCGTGACGGTGCGCAGGAGAAGCAAGAGCGGGATCTGCGCGTGCAAGACCACGGAGCCGGTGTGCGGGAGCGACGGGGTGTCTTACCGGAGTATCTG